TAGTATTCATCCGGTATACCACTGACGTTACGATATGGCAGGGGACCGAAGAGGTCCATCCCTACGTTTTCGAAGGGATATCGAGAAAGGTCGAACTCTTCTCTCAGGATGAACAGGAAAAGGAGGAAGGGAATATGGTTTGGCCAGGTATCTCTTGCAATGATAACAGTTGTTGTGCATTATTCTTTTTACTGTGGCTCTTCCTTTGGGTATCCACACCATTTGCCGAAGAAGGGTTAGGGTGTGGTTTATTCCACAGTGATTGTGAGATTGATGAGTGTGAAGAACGAATAGTTCAGTGATGCGAGAGCGGGAAGGAAGGAAAATTGGGTTGATGGCCTGCGCTGATAAAAGAGCATTGTCGATCCTGCCTTTGCATTTCCAAGTGAAGTGGCATTGCACAAGTGCAGTCGCCGCTGTTCCATATGTGTTTCAGAATGGAGGAGGACCATCTGCGCGATTCGAAACAAGATGACTTCGGCTCTATTGAGAAGAGTAGTCTCATCGTTGCCGAAGTGCAGCTTGGCTAGTGCTGATTTCAGAGTGAGGAAGCGCAAGACGTAGAAGACCGAGTTTACGAGTTTTGTCCAGGAGCTGAATCGAGAAGGATCTATCAGAGCGATTGGAGTCGTGATAACTGGATGAGCAGTCGCTAACTTACATAACAACGTAGATGAGTCAATCTCAGATTCTTCGCTCGGATTTTCCTCGACGAATTCGGGCCACTCGTTTTCTCTGGTCAGAAAAGCTGGTCCTTTCCACCATTCTTTTGTGGACAACAGTTCCAGAGTGGTACACCCCCGAGTTCCCAAGTCGGCTGGATTGTTATTTCCGGGCACGTGTCGTATGTGAACTCCCGATGTGTTTTCTTTGATCGTTTGGACTCGAGTTCGAATAAAGACCGGAAGGTGTTTGTTGTTGGTAATCCAAGTCAAAGCGACATCACTGTACCTCCGAAGAAACTTTCTCGCGATGGGACTTCGAGCTGCTTGATCAAGTATGAAAGTAGTTCGGCACAATAACTACTGCTGCTAATTCGAGTCGAGGGATGGTTATGAGTTGATTGAGCGGAGCCAACCTTGATTTAGACATGATCAGGAATATTTCTGGAGTGCAGTTTTGTAGACGTTGAACTATATAAGCAGAAGCAGAGTAAGCACTAGCTGAGGCGTCTGTGAACACATGGAGGTCATACTCTGACAATGAATTATCACGGATGTTGAGAATGAGCCGCGGAAAGGTTAGCTGTCCTGCTGTACAAGTGGATGTAATCTGAGTCCATTGATCGAGTTTTTTTATAGGCAAAACATTGCCCCAGGAGAGGGTAATTTTCCAGAGAGATTGGAGAAAAGGCCTGCCCACAAGAGTTATCTTAGCGAATAACCCGAGCGGATCGTAAAGGCTGGCAACGTGCTTGAGCACCTTTCTTTTGTTCAGATGGTGTCTCTCACAGGTTTGGGGAACTGGAGAGTTAGCGTGTCCATTGTAGTGTCCCATTTCAGACCGAGAAGGTTCTGGATTGTTGCTATCTTACCAATACCATTGCTTTCGAAATACTCATTAAGGTCTTGGGAATTACTAGCGAATGTTCTTTCTCTGGCGAGAAAAGCTCTTCTCTCGGGGTGAACCATTCCACGTGTTCTTGGGAATGGCGCAAACGTGCTCATTTGCAGTTAAGGAAGTGAACTGGGAACACTCAATGCTTACTTGTATTTGGAGTAGTAT